AAATAGAACTCACACTAATATTTAGGGGAAAAAATGCCAGACAATCACACCAAATTTCCGGTCTCAAATTAGAGAACGTACTGTACTAAGAATATCAGAATAACGATTTAGAGCAATACCCAGACCATAACCAACTTAGAAATCGCACCCCTAATGGAAGAATGGTATAAGTTGAGTTACGTCAAAAATGTTGATTGCTCCATTAGATATAGAAAAATATAACCAATTCTTGATACTCTATCTACAATCTTAGTCGATAGAGTTACAAGAACTGAAGAGGATATGGGTTATATTTTTCTGTATCTAATGGAGAAATAAAAATTTTTGACGTAACTCCACTTATGCCATTCTTCCATGAGTGGTGCGAAATGTTTGTTTCCTAAATTGACCCGAATCAGGAATCGAACCCGGAACCTCATCATCAAGCTCCCATAGTAGTAGCCGCTTTGCCACCGAAGAGCACAAAAGCGCACCCCGTAATCTAAGCAGAACCACGCGTCTCAGGCCGAGCCCGACACAGGACTCGTTACATTTTGAAATAAAATTATAATGTAAATTTAAAAATAATACAAAGAAAATATATAATATATAATAATATATAAATAAATATATAATAACAAAAACAATTGAAAGTCGATATTCAAATGTTTCAAATTTAAAAAATAAAAAAATCACAGAAACCATTTGAAAAAAGTTTCATTCGAAAACCTCAAACCATGAAGATTCTATGAAAATTCAAAGAACCTATTGCAATAAAACGGCAATTTCATACTTTAACCCCTAATATTTATAATTTTATCAAATGAAACATAAGTATACACGTTCCTAATTTTATCAAATTATAATAATTTCAATTCAATCATATTGTAATTTATTGCGCACGACAAGATACTTATTATTTACTTCTTAGTAAAGTACGTCTGCTGTGTTCCGTGCCGCATGTGTGCTGGTACCGGGTCCACTGAAATCAGCGTCGTAGCACTTTTAGTGAGACGATTAGCTGAGTTCATGACGGATTCCGTAGTAGCACAGCGCACACTCTATTATTCCAATTTTAGCACTTGATTTACTTAGTTAAAAAGTTGAATTATTTATTAATAAGTATTGTATAATTATATGTGAAATCATATAGCGTGTGTGTACTGTGCTGTAAATTGTTAACGGAATAAACAATTTTCAATACACTTATTACAGCATTTTATACCAATGTTTTTTGCCTTTTTTGGACCACTCAAACGATATCAAAACAAATGAAAAATTTACTACCTGATAAAAAACACGTTTGAATGTTTGCAAATTTGATATTTAAAAGTTGGAATGCAAAAGTGCGGTCTCCGTCGCAATGTTGGTTGGTTGGTTGGTAAAAACTTCTGTGACAAATACACACACAGGCACATTTTGCGGAACGCTAGTAAAATTCCCAAAATAATACTGTGTTTCCTCAAAATGACAGCCGATTTTTTTCATTCATTTGTTTTAATTTCGTTTCCTTTGGCCTGCAGCGGCATAGTAGCGGCTGAAAAATGAAATGAAATGCAGGTGCATGAAGTGGTTCTTGTAGATTTAAAAAAAATTTGTTAATGAAAAATTATGATTATTCTTTTGTATCTTGAAAAAATTTATGTTCATCTAACTTAATTTCATAAACTTCAATGTTAAACATACATCCGGGCGAACATGTAACCTCCTCCTTTTTTTAAAGTCGGTTAAAAGCTCACGGTGTTTTTGCTAAGTTTTTTTGTTGGCACTACTGTTACAGCTTCATAAAAGTAAGATGCAAAATTATAAACACTCTGTTCTTATTA